ATGTCACACACACACACACACACACACACACTCTGATTATCTGTGATCACAATTATCAAACTGTAAATAAGATGACGTCAGATTTCCATATTTAGGCTACATGTCAGTGATGTCACATAATAACTACTATAACCATCAGACATCATCAAACAATCACTGATCGATCATACAACACACACACACACACACACACACACACACACACACACACAACACACACACACACACAGATGCGCGCGCGGTAGCATCAACAGTTGTCAGGTATAAAATGATCCGGACAGCGGGAGGTGTCAGCAGCACTCACCGGGTCTCTGCGCTCCCAGCTCGGCTGTGATCCGCTGCTTGTGACGGTGAGACCGGCTGTCTGTCTGTCTGTGTGTGTGCGTGTGTGAATGTGTGTGTGTGTGTCTGTCTGTCTGTGTGTCTGTGTGTGTGTGTGTGTGAATGTGTGTCTGTGTGTGTGTGTGTGTGTGGTGTGTGTGTGTGTGTGTGTGTGTGTCCTCCGTCTGATCCAGACTGAGACTGTCTGTCTGCACACTCACTGAGAGTCAGCCGGGGGGCCGGGTGGTGGTGGTGGGGGGGGGGCTGTGTCATGCTCTCCAGACAGCCAGACATAACAGGAAGTCAGGCCACTTCAGGAGCAGCTCCAGGAGTCAGAAATATGAGCCTCTTCAGATGATAAAAACGATGATTAGCTGTTTATACACACCAACCTTTTTAACAGAGATGAGCCAGTACGAACACAGGTTTTTAATAAACTATAATTATATAAACTATTACAAAAACTGTTCCTTACTGACGAGGCTGGACAGAAATAACCACAATAACTGTGTGTGCTGAAATAAAATCATGAACAAAGTTTTTGTCTTTGTTAATTTATTTTATAAGCTACGTAAGAATAACTCTTATCCTTCAAATCAAAACTGATGAGTCATCAAAACATTCACCCCCCGTACAGTGTGTGTCCATCCAGACATGAGCTAATCACACCTATTTGGTTTTTTGAACCAGGCTGTAAACATGTTCATCTCTGCTGTAAAAACAGGCTTTTTAGAATGGGTGTGTATGTGACTTCCTGTGCTTCTGCAGCCAGCCTCTAGTGGACACTCAAGGAACTGCAGGATTTTACTCTTCAGCGTCGGCTTCATGTTTAAACACTGGAGGTTTCTGCTTGGAGCCGCCAACCCAATCTACAATACATGGAGCTAACTAGAAATATTAGTGAAGGTATAAAAACACATCGTGAGGGATGAGATCAACTGTCCGAACATTTACAGACACATAGCCTACACACACACACACACACACACACACACGCGCACACGCACACACGCACAGACGCACAGACACACACACACACAGACACACACACACACACACGCGCACACGCACACACGCACAGACGCACAGACACACAGACACAGACACAGACACAGACACCACACACACAGACACACACACACACACACACACACACACACACACACACACCACACACACACACACACACACACACAGACACACACACACACACACATTCACACACACACACACGCGCACACGCGCGCACGCACACGCGCACGCGCACACGCGCACAGCACACACGCACACACACAGACACAGACACACCCACACACACACACACTGACACACACACACACACACACACACTGACACACACACACACACACACACAGTATAATTACTGTTACTGAGAATTGAATACTGTTACTACTGTTGTTGTAAATATTCATAAGTATTCATAAATATTCATAAGTATTCATAAGTATTCATAAGTATTCATAAGTATTCATAAATATTCATTATTCTGTATTTATGTTGGAGATTCCTAAACTTTGTATTTGTTTGAACTTGTCGTTAGCTTCAATTAGCTTCAGTTAGCTTCAGTTAGCTTCAATTAGCTTCAATTAGCTTCAATTAGCTTCAGTTAGCTTCAATTAGCTTCAATTAGCTTCAGTTAGCTTCAGTTAGCTTCAATTAGCTTCAATTAGCTTCAGTTAGCTTCAATTAGCTTCAGTTAGCTTCAATTAGCTTCAATTAGCTTCAATTAGCTTCAGTTAGCTTCAATTAGCTTCAATTAGCTTCATTAGCTTCAGTTAGCTTCAATTAGCTTCAGTTAGCTTCAATTAGCTTCAATTAGCTTCAATTAGCTTCAATTAGCTTCAGTTAGCTTCAATTAGCTTCAATTAGCTTCAATTAGCTTCAGTTTGCTGATTCTCTGTGAGTTTATTATAAGTTTTTAAACGCTTCTAAACTTTAACTTCTTCTTGTTTAAAGTGTCAAACGATGATGATGAAGCACCGCTACCCACACAGACAGGTACAGGTGAGCTGATGACGATGCTAACATTTATAGGTGTAGGAGGGATGTGGCTGAGCTAACTTAAAAGGTGTGTTTGACAGGTTAATTAAAAAAGCTCCAGTGTCTGCTGTCACTTATAGTTCAGACAGTTCGCAGACCATGAACGTGACCAGGTGTGAACAGGTGTCTCCACTCGGCACGGCAGTAAAGGTAAACCGTGTTTCAGCTGTTCTTCACAGAAATGTGTAAACGTTGCTAGCTAAAGCTAACGGCTAAACCCTCCATGGTAGCTGCTGGCTAATGCTAGCTCGACTCTAACGTCCCGGTGTTCTGTCGAATATAGACTGAAGGAGTTTGGGATTAATACATTTAAAGTGATTTTGTTCTGGTAGCTTTGTTTCATTGCGGACACAGTTAGCCTCTGTGGAGGCATCTTCTGACAAGGTAGCAAATCTCGACAGAACACCGCGTCTGACGGGAGCGTGACTAGCGGCTATTCCCGTTAAAGAAAAGCGAACATTCAGACATTTTATCCAGGTAAGTGTTACAGGCCTGTATCTTTGTGTGGTTCTCTAAAATTCGGCTGCTAAATAAGCCACAAAGAAGCTTTTATTGCTTTTTTAAATTGAATGTTTAGCGTTGATGCAGAACCTCTGCAGGAGGCGCGAAGGAGAAAGGTAGCTGCTGCTAAAGTGGAGAAATATATTGGGGTTTATTTTATGCCGAATTCTTAAATGGTGTCTTTCACTTCATGTTTCTTTATTGCATTGTAGTTCTTCGTGTTTTAGTCACAGTGGTTTTTGTCTTTGTGTTAATTAGCCGGAAGGTGAACGGGGTTTGGTGCAGCTGTTTTTCTAACCTAGTTCTGTGTCTTCCAGGAGAGAATGAATCACACGATGGATTCATCCAGACAGCAGTCATTTTTCCTGAGAAGTACCACAGCAGTGTCTCTCCATGAGCGGTGAGACACACAGTCATCAGCATCAGGGAAACATTAATTATGAGATATTAATCTTTATTAATTAATCCTTTGTCTCCACCACCAGTGAATTCTGTATCACATACTATGAACCAGTTCATCACAAGATAGTAAAGTTAAATTGCAATAAGTGTCGTTGTGACAACAGAATTTTAAACTTCATTTTCATGCTGGTAGAAATCATGATATCCATGCATGTTTGTTTCCACGGCAATTGAAATAGAAGTCTTCAGCGCCACATATTGGATAATTTAATGTTTTTAATCAACAATAATCGCTGACAAACTCTTACATCAAACCATGGACCGGGTTTCAGTACAGAATCTTTGCCATTGTAGAGGAACTATCCACTAGGCAGCTCCCTCAGAACTAAACACCACAGGGACTTTTTATTTGTCTGCATCCCCATGGTACCTACTCTGAAGCAGGAGCTAAACAGGTTCCTCTAAACGAGGCTCTAGGAACTTCAGTAGTTCATAGTTCCTGCGGTGCAGAATCAGTAAAAGAGATGAGATGAGATTCAACTTTATTGTCATTACACATATACAAGTATAGAGTAACGAAATGAGGTTTGGCATCTCACCAGAAGTGCAAATAAGCAGAGGGGGAGGATTCCAACTTTTCTTAGAACTATGAAAAGTGTCTTGCGGTCTGAAAACGTCAATTGAAGACGCCTCAATTAAAGCTAAAGAGGCGACGGGCATCACGACTCGATGGATGAGGTCTGTACATCTCGTCGCTCCCCGCAGGCTTAGAGCTCGACTAGCGTACTGAAGCTAGCAGGAGAGCTAACAGACGGAGCTGAACAATAAGTGTATGTTGTAGAAATCTTCACACAGGACCTTTGTTCTCTCTGAGAGACCCGACCTTCTGTTTGTGATGATGTAACTCGTCGCTGCAGCTTCTCTCAGGTTCTGACAGACCAGCTGACCCAGTCCATGACGGTGACCCTTGACCCCATCATGCTGCAGCAGATGGGGGGTGGTGGTCCGCAGGTTCTCCTGCTGCTGAAGAGCGGGCAGCCCACACCGCTCCACCTGCAGGTGAGTCACAGAGCTGTGGACCAATGAGAACAACAGACCCCTCTCATCACTATACCCCCCCCCATGATGCAGGCGGGTGTTTCATCGGTGACTCGGAGGAGCGTCTGGACGCGACTCGGCTGGCAGCCAGTGACTCGGCGTCTCTCGATCCGCAGACCTAGAGGGTTCTGGAGCTTCAGGAACAAATACAGATGGAGAGCCAGGTTCACCTCCAGGAGTGAGTTAATAACCTGCTGCTTCCCTTAACCCTTGACCTTTGACCTCATCAATGTGTTCTGACCCGTGTGTTACCTTTGCAGGTGGAGAGGACCTGCGCAGTCGACTCGGGCAGCGTCGCCTCCAGAGGAAAAGAAACTTCCAGAAGCTGACGGCAGGTCAGTAAAAGAGAGGATAATATCCAAAGATCCACCTGGACCTGACGCTGTTACTGTTACCATGACAACACAAATAGAAATCCTATAGCATCTAAGCATGTCTGGAGGTTTCTCTGTTCTCCTTTTGATAAATCATCAAATATCAGCTGCTTTTAAAACACTGAGTCATTAAGATCAGCGGTTCTCAACCGGTCTAGCCTGAGGACCACCCCACAGAGACCAGACCCCCCACAGAGACCAGGCTTTGTGTACGCCCCCTCAGGCGGTACAAAACATGTTTTA